AAAGGCAGGTGGAAAAATGTACACAAGCAGCTGCACAGCCCACCTCTTCACCACTCATCATACCCTCTACCTCACAGGCCCAAAACCCTCCAACTGCCTCTCTCGATTTATCCAGAAGGAGCAGCTATCGATACAACCTCCCCAGGAGGCTCTTTCTAACATTCTCTCCCCAAGGAGAGTTCCAGAGGCAACATTTACACCAACTAAAGCTGGCCTCAGGCAAGAGGAGGAACTTCCGGAGGAAATCCCTGCCAACATGAGGGCGTGGATGGAGCTAGCTATCCAGAAGGGCATAGCAGCAGCCGTCCAACAGGCTATTCAGGCAGGACAAACACCCTCAGCTTCGGGTTGCAGATCTCTTTCTGAACGATCTCTGGGCATCACGGATCCACATCTTCATCAGGTCCCCCCCCCCCGCAGAACTATTGTTGCCCATTGTCAGAGACCCTCAGTACACACAGGATATGGGAGATCAAGGGGATCCAATGGATCCAATGGAGGAGGGTACACACCGTTGACCAGGTATTGTCAGAGGTGGATCCGCTAGAAAGGGGGATGTCTGACTCTCACCTGACAGGATATTTACAGGATTATTCCGCCCACGATTATTTAAATCCCTGCTGTTTAAGGCCAAGAACACCGCATGACTGGATAATATGGGTACCCCTCCCCCACCAAATACTCCAGAGGATCTCATATTCTCTCAACCAGTCACTGAGGCAAAGGTTATCCCTGTGCCACACATGTTTTCCAATTTAGTACAAAAACAATGGGCTGCAGCAGCCTCATATTCCGCTCCCACAGGACATGATAAAAAATACTATAATTTGGCACCCGAGTTCTCTAAATTTCTAAACACTCCGGAAGTGGATGAGCCTATCATTGTGCTTGCATATTCCTCAGCCATCCCAAGTGAAGCTGAAGAGGTTCTCAAGCCTGAGGAAAAGAGGGCGGAAGTAGCCCTCTGCAGGGCACACGTCTCGGATGCATGGGCCATCAGAACGGCCACAGCTGCCTCCTTTTTCACCAGATCATCTCTCAGATGGCTCCGCCACCTGAGGGATACCATTCCAGCCTCAAACATTAGGGCACATCAAGATGTGGCTAAATTAATCACTGCTGCAGAGTTTTCAGCAGATGCTACCTTCAATGTAGTTAAATTTTCCTCTAGGGCCATTGCTTCCCAAATTGCAGCTAGAAGGTTACTTTGGCTCAGGCATTGGCAGGCACATGTCAAGCACAAGTGGCGGCTTGCCTCAGCTCCCATCTCGGAGAACAAACTGTTTGGCAGTGCACTTGAACCCCTCCTAATTGAAACCAGAACCAAAAAGAAAATTCTTCCCTCTCTTTTTCGTCAATCAGAGTCCAGATCACCACAGCCCTTTCGTAGGGATTCCTTTTGCCCCTTCTACCAACCCTACTATCCAAGATTTCAAAGACAGCCTGGATTCAGACAACAGACAGATAGAATTGAACCTGGGGACAGATATAGAAGGGGACTCCATCCTAGGAGACAATTTCGAGGAACAGGTTCTAGGCCCTTCCGCAGGTCCAAGTAATGACCACAATGAGATTTCCATTGGCGGTCGCCTAAAAAGGTTTGCCGACCAATGGGACTCCTCTACCACTGACACATAGGTCAGGAACACAGTACGATTTGGTCTGGCACGAGTTCAGCTCCACCCCCCCAGATTTTTTTATGAAGTCCCCAATTTCCAGGGATGCAGAAAAAAGGTTTCTCATGGACACAGCCATAGCACATTTCCTAGAGATCCGGGACATACAACCCGTCCCTTCTAATCAAAAAGGTCTTGGTTTTTATTCGCACCTCTTCATGGTCCCTAAAAGTTCAGGGGGATGGAGGGCAATCCTGGACTTAAAACGTCTAAACCAATATTTAATTTACCGAAAATTTAAAATGACCACTCTCCAATCCATCTTACTCAGCATCAGAAAAGACGATGTCCTTACCTCCATAGACCTCACAGAAGCTTACTTACATATCCCAATTAGGCCCTCACATTTCAAATTCCTTCGTTTCTGTTACAACATCCATTACAAATATATTGCTCTCCCATTTGGCCTAGCTTCAGCTCCTAGAACTTTTACAAAGGTCTTGGCTGTCTTGGCAGCATCACTCAGAGATAGGTCCATCCGACTTCAATGCTACTTGGATGATATTCTTATTCTGGCATCTTCCATCAATCAAGCAAATTCAAATACTCAAACTACACTTGTAACCTTACAACTACATGGGTTCTCAATCAATTGGTCAAAAAGTCATTTAACACCCTCTACTAGACTCATTCACCTTGGCGCCATCATTGACACCCTGGAAGGAAAGTTTTCCTCTCCCCTGACAGACAAGAAACATTAGAGATTTGGCTCAACAGATCAGAATTCTAAGGAAAGTACAAGTATGTCTCCTTCCTAAATTGCTCGGAAAAATGATTTCTTGAATTTCTATTATCCCCTGGGCCCGGTTCCATGCAAGAACTCTGCAATGGTTCCTGTTGCCATACCAACGCGCTGGGAGAGATGATGCCAGGACTTGCGTAAAAAACCAGGAGTGCAGCCACCATAGCAGCATGGGTGACCCAAGCTACAATAGAGGAGATTTGCCGAGCTGCAACCTGAGCTTCTCCATCTCCATTTATTAGAAATTATAAAATTGACGTATTTGCTTCTGCTGAGGCTTCATTTGGTAGGCGAGTTTTGCAGCAAGTTATTTCAGAGACAGTTAGGTCTGCAACCCAGACGGAGTCCCTCCCTTAGGACAGTGCCAAGCTTTGGTATGTCCCATCACTGGATGCTCTGAACATCTCATGGGAGAAAGGGCATTGGTACTTACCTGATACGCCCGTTCTCTGTGAGCTGTGAAGAGCATCCAGCCCCTCCCTTTTATTACGTCTGGTAGGGGGTCTGTTCCGGCCAGGGTTATTACACAGGCTTAAGCATATAGGGTATCAATACCTTGGCTTTGCAAAACTGGGGACACTAAGGAGGAGTCTCATGGAGGAGGAGGAGTGTCCTCAAGTTTAAGCCCAGCCTTCCTAGAAGGGACTGAAGCACCTTCCCATCACTGGATGCTCTTCACAGCTCACAGAGAATGGGTATATCAGGTAAGTACCAACGCCCTTTTTCAGCCATTTTATAACCTTTCTTGCTACAGTTGTTAAGAAAATCACTGCAGTTTTTTTTTTTTACTTAGTAACATAGTTATAAAGAGAATCTGCCTTCCCCATTGACTTTGCTTGTCAGAAGGTCACAAAAGCTGATTACATGACCCCAGAGACACTGCAATCATAAATATAAGCCAGTTGCCAAGTATTTGAATTTTGTTCACATGAAATGGGGATGCTTCTGCTGTCAGCGTGAAAAACTTTTTTCAGTGCCATTGTAACTTTCTAAATGAAAGTCATGCTCTACCTGTACTTCCATTGAGACTGATCTTGGAAGCTGCTGCATTTTTAATGGAAATGTGGAAAGGTTGATCCAAACAAGTGAACTTAATAATTTACTATTGGTGATAAATTATATTATCAACTAGTATATTTCATATTATAAAATAATATCTGAGAACTATCGAGCATCTTCAGTAAATCCTAAATTGAACCTTCCTACCTTACTAGTTAATAATAATATAAATAGCCCAACTTTTCACACATTTCATACAAAATACTTTTAATGAAGTATGATTTAATTGTGTGTGTGTGTGTGTGTGTGTGTGTGTGTGTATTTTCTATCTTTGAGTCAGTTTTCACTCTTGGAGGCTACCTGGGTATGTCCCTGCAGTTTTCTTGGCAAGATTTTGGAAGTGGTTTTCCATTGTCTATTTCCAAGGATTGAGAGAGAATAGCCCAAGGTCACTTACCAATAGCAGAACTAGAACTCATAGGCTCCTAGATGAATGCCTTACCTTGGTACACAAAGTGGCTTTTGTGATTACTCTGCAAGTTTTCTAGCAACCTAAAATAATTTCAAGATTTACTGCCCCACATGTCAAAAATAAATAAGCAACTGTTTTGAAAAATGGTTTATAGAAATCTGAGTGGCATATTTTGAGTGAAAGTTTGGAAAGAAAATATGACTGCACAATGAAACTAAATTATAATTACATTCTTTATCAAATAAGGCTAGATTGAGAAAATGTTCATCTCCCCAAACTTGCAATATTTAATTCTAGTGTCAAAAAATGGCCATTTCAATCATAATTAAGTTCTGTCAACAGTTTTAAAAGAAAATTCAACATAGACATATAGATAGGCCTTGCTTGACAACTGCCCCATTTAACATCCATTTAAAATTACAATGGCATTGAAAAAGTAGGTCCTTGTGATCACATGTTTGAAGTTTGGATGCTTCACTCCTGGTAAGTATTGTGACTGTCAATCGCCAATTGCATACTTCGCATCAGGCTTCCAAAAAGCAGAATCATTGGAGAAGCCAACCGGTAAAATCACAAGTTATGATCGTATAATATTTCAGTTAACCACTTAGCTGCAAAAGAGATATTGCTATACAGTTGGGTGTCCATGCGTTCTATTTTCCAGAGAGATGGCTCTTTATATGATGGAGTAAGGAAAATTGTAGATTTAAAAATGCTCATAAGCAAATAGCATCTGGTTAGCACACAGATCAAAGTTTTGCATTAAATGTCCAGATATGTATCAATACTTATAAACAAGCACAAAAATTTGTATGAATCTGTATCCCCTTTTGACTTACAAGACAAAGATTGATCTTGGCTGTGGAAAAAATGTGAAAAGAAAGGAATATGTTGAAAACTTATAA